GATGTATAACCCTGATCGTAATTCTATTATTGTCATGTAAATAAAATAAATAGTATTTAATTTCGTAAAAAGTTATTGTTGTTTGCGAGCCCATCAAAAATGTTTCATTATTTTATATTTATTTATACACATATAAACAACAGAGTATATTTTAAATTTTAGTATTTTACTGTTATTACTGTCCCGCCCTTTTTCCCGATTGAATGATATGAAAATTCAACAATCGATATGTGTTTCGTTTTTACACGTCACGAATTTATTTACTATTATGAAATAATAAAAAAAAAAAAAACATTTAATTGTTAAATATTATGTATTATGGTATTGGGCACGTGTATTTTCAAATATTTAACATCGAAACATGAATTTAAAAATGTTAAGTATTTAAAAAAAAAACAAATTTAATTGATGTTAGCTTGAATGTGCAAGTTCAATTATAACTACTTGTCAATTATTATTAGCAGGGCTAAACATACACATTGGTGTTAAGAAAAAAAATGTATAAAAAAAAAAAATTCCTTATTAGTATACCTTATTAGCGAAACCCTAAGTTATGTGTCAAATCCCATTTAGTTGATCAGAGAAGAGAATAATAAACATTATACGGTCAACCAGATATTATGTGGATTACAGCATCAAGTGCTTTTACGTGTATTTCATTTTGTTTTTTCAGGGCTTAGCTTGCAGAATGGCCGATCTGGCCAATCGCGGGAGATTGTTTTGTTTTTATTTTTTTGCTTATGTAAAAAACTATAGATTACATTTTAGTTTTATAGACGATCGTTACTAACTTATAACGATAATAGTGACTGGTGTGATCGTTGATTTCGACTCCTCCCTCAGTGATATTTTCCGGGGAGTCAAAATCGACTACAACCCTATATTTTTTTTGTTTCCCCAATAACGTTTATCGAATTCCTTTTTTTTTCTATCTGGATCTTCTACTTTGATTGCTGATTTTTCCTATGCGTACTTCTCCATACAATTGTTTTTATTTTTATCAAAGACTTATCCCGAAGATCATATCACTATAAATAGTTGAGTTATTATTATTACTATTATTTATACTTGATTTGTATTCCAATATTAATAATTTATTCTATGATTATCTTAGGTAATCTTAGGTAGGTACATTCATATAGGTATTTTAATATATATATATAGGTTAGTTATTAATGTTATTATATAATTGTCATAAGATTTCTGTAGGCAATCAAGTTGGTTCTGCGAAATACATAATCTCTTATCGTGATTAAATAATGTGTATGTATGGAAATTTCTAAAGACATCTATGCTATCTAATATTTTTCTAAACCTGGGATATGTATACCTATTAGTTTACGGTGTTCATAACAATTAATAAGGCGATTGACGTTCGCTGATGATATGAACAAACTTTAAATTCTAAAAATTGTATTACATTCTACATCATATTGTAAAAATTCCTATAAAAATGCACCACTTACGTCTCAGAGACCTATAATAATCGTTAAGAACTTAAAAAAATTACAAGTACCTAAGCGTTTCACATCCATTATCTACATTATGATTATCGTTAAAATAAAATTTGGTAAAGTTTTATTTAAATCATTCTATATCACTAATTACCATTAGTACCAATGAAATAATAATAAATAGTATACTTTTATAATATATCGTTTACCTAATCTGTCGTTTGACAAACTAATAAGAAGATATATTAGCTTCATTTCTTTATGTGAACTATGAATACCAAACATCAATTTTCATTAAACATCAAAAATTAAGTAGGAAAGTCCCCCTAAAATTACAACTTTTTAGGGATGCCATTTCACGTTTTCTCACATGATGCAAAATGACAAAAGTCATTATCAAAGTCACTTGTTTTAATCACGTGAAACATTAAGGGTAAAATAAATACATTTCCAATATTTCCATATTAAATTATATTTTTCAATTATAATTTATTATTACTAACTACAATATTCAAAAATCTTTTTCAATATATTTTAGTATATAGGTGTATTAACTAAATATAAATAAATTGAGTATATAGAAAATTCGTAAGTAATACTGAGTAATATATTAATACTGCAGTTGTTAATACAAATTGCACGAACTACAATCAACAGTGTTTGAGGTATAGAATATTATATTTTTTTTAATAATAATAAAATAAAAAAGACGGAAATACTAAGCACGTGGGTGAACAAATTCTATGAAATTGCATATAATTTCTTATTATTATGAATGTGTTAAAAGAAATCTATGGGATACATTTGCATACCGTTGTATCCCGCAAATGATGCCACTGCAAATTGTGTACTTTTAAATGTTTAATTAATGTTTGAAAAAATATTCTGTCAATTTTTAAGCTGCTTTATAGTTTTTTTAAACTTTTGATTTATGACAAAATTCATTACAAATGTAATCTATTTTGTATTAACAATTATTTTTTAGTAAAAATATTACTTTTTCTATTCACACAATAAGGATTAAATTATTGTTACATTTTAAATGCTTGAATAAAATTAGTTGAGTATGTCAACGCAGATAACTTTAAAACTTAAATTTCTTCTTTTTTTAGTTACCTATAGATAAAATATATTACGACTATGAGACATTTCTGAAAGTATTAAAGATGTACATAGAACATACACGGAGCTTTAAAAAGACAATTTTTTGCAATATGATATAAAAGGATATGAAGGATATGATGAGTTACAACATTTGGCAAAAAATCATATTGATTTAAAATTCATCGTGTCTTTTTTAGTAGTATTCATCCATATTTTCAGAAAAATTTGCCGACCATTTATCGTTAAAAGAAGTGTTCTTTATTATAAAAAAAAAAAACGACGACTAAAGTAATAATTACTTCAGAAGAAAGATTATCAGAAGAAGATGAAAATAATAATTTTGATAGTTCTTTAAAGACATCTACATCTTCTTATCATGGTCGTGAAGTCACTCAAAAACTTCTTAAAAAGCGATACTTTTGGCTGGCTATAATACATGATGTTAAAGAATACATAAAACAATGTGAAGAATTATCACCCGTATAAAAACACAGTAAATAAATATACAAATAAAAAAATAAACTAATTAATGAATGCGTCGTCTGGAATATTGTGATAAGTGTATTATACGGTCGGATAAAACACTTTCGACCGGTTTCGAATTAAAAATTCATTATCAGATATACAGTATTATAGATAACACAGTCAAAATGTAAAACACGACTCATATATTTTGACTGTGTTATATCTGATATTGAATTTTTAATTCGAAACCGGTCGTATAATACACTTATAATACTCCAGATGACGCATTAATTAATTAAATAATTTTTTATTAATGTATTTATTTATGAGTATTAACTGTTTTAATAATTTTATTTTTGCTTGGTTATTTTATTACGTACAAAAACATTGCAATTCAACATCCCGGTTTTGATCTTTGAGAAATATATAGATTTTTTCCAAAATTGAACTCTAAACACTTTATTCATAGGTTTGTTTTCTGTTATACCAAAACATAATTAATATTATTGACACTTGACAAATATTAAACCGTTTTAAGGTTTCTTAACATAAGTTTAAAATACCTTACATATAAGTTGTGTTCTTCCATCCGTAAAGATACTAATGCATATTTACGGTTGTTGATTTGGTTGACAAGGAGATAAGTATCATTCGTAATATTATTATTATTACTAATTTAAATATGAATTCGTCACACTACTCCCATAAGTCCAATCAATCAACTTTAGAGGTAGTCTCTGATAGAAAATTGTGTCTAATTGGTGTATTGAAAAGTGTATTGTATATAAATGATTTATAGATTTTCCTTGTAGTTTTCTTAATAATTGTATAGAAAATCCGGAAAAGATTTTGAGAAAATATACGTCACGTTTATTTTTATTTGTCAAATTACACAATTAATAATTTAATATCTATTGACAAATGTTCCAACCAATAATGATACACGTAAAAACTAAAAAAAAAATGTATACACATGTTCATTTTGATAAAATAAATACACAATTTTCATATAATATCTTATTTTATATTTTGCTCGATATCATCTAGACCCGTGTTTCTTAAACTGTGTTCCTCGAAACCCTAGGGTTCCGCGTAGATGACTCAAGGGTTCCACAAAATCCACGTGCTTTTTTCAAAATATTGAACAAAATTACATTAAAAAAAACTAAATAAATATCAGAGGTTGACGAAAAAGTGTGATGTAACAATTTATTAAATGTATTATAATAATAAGAGTTCATAAAATAAGTTGGATTTCTTTTTAAAAAATGCAAAATGTTAGTGCAAATGCTACTAAACAACAAATTCCATCAACGTAATCTCAAAAAGTTTAAAAACACTGGTCTAGTGGACCAGTGCTTAACCTTTTTCGTTTCAGTTTTTCAGTGACTGCTAACATCGCCATAAGGCAAAACTATAGGTAATACCAAGGTAAACTCGTTGGTATTTTGCTCATACTTTTTTTTTTCTAATAACTGGTCTTTATAACGAGTATTATATTATCGGAATCTTGGCCAACACTAAATTAAAACTCTAATCCGGCCCTATAAACTATTCTGATTTCACGTGTGATAACATTTCGTTGAAAACTGGTGCTTTTTATTTATTTTGATTTCTAACGAAACTCATTTGAAAGCTATCCCCTCCAACGGTCTCTTAAAACCTACCACCTCCTCGAAAGACTGAAGTACCCCCTAGGGGTTGATACCACCCACGTTAAAAACCATTGATCTAGACGACACCCCACGCATATTTGTTTTCAGTTCTTTACGACGCGCGACGGTACAAACTTTTAAAGTTAATCTATTTCCATACAATTTTATTGACTCCAAATCCGAAACGTTTATTATTTACCTTTTGGAAATTTCAACAAAAAAATAAAATCTCGTATTTTATAATTATTTTTACTACGATATAAATTATAACATTATAGTCATTGTTAAAATCGTAAAAGAATAATCGAATAAAATGTTACAACAAGCACGGCGAGGAAAATTATAATATTCCCGTGGGAACGGCTGCCCGTCGGGGAGGATGATGCAAAATTTAGGTTATACACTGGTAACCAGGTTTAGGTCAAATACTCGAGTCGGTACTACTATAAATACACTTATCGAACGATGTAAAGTTCTAGACAGAACGCTCCGGGCGATTTGTCTTCGCGGTTATGTAGATACCCTACCGAATAATACGGGGTCCGAGTCTCGGTCGAAATCAGAAAATAATAATTATTGTACCGTGGTTTGCGGTAACCCGATTTTTGGAAAATGACGAACCGCAATCGCCTAATCCCCGAAACAACGTTTTCTTACCCCCATTCCCGCACTTGAGTCAAGTGCGGGTAAAGTGCGGAATTGGGAAAATGGCTACAAACAATAGGAGTTGCAGGTAGATGAGTAATAAAAAATAAAATATGAACTCGTATTTACAAATTCGAAAAACATCTACTTTAAAAAATCTCTGAAAAAAAAAATTTACTAACATTTAAAAAATCAAAAATGATAAAGGAGTTTAAAAGTTCCCCGCGAACTTATTAAATTAAATTTCCTAAAAATATAAAATGTATTCATAAAAAATAATTTCTTTTGAATAAAATTGTAGGAATTATAAAAAAAATTACTTTTTATTGATAATTTTTGTGGTGTTAGAAAATTAGGGGAGGAACTTTTAAATCCCTCTATTATTTTTTCGTTTTTATAAATTTTTTAAGTGATTTTTGACGTTTTAAATTGCTTCTTACTTACCTATGGGCAACAAGGAAAAGAACTACTTCGTTCAGAATCGTTTATCGTTTGCAATGATTCATCGTCACAAACAGTACATAAACTATAATTCCTGGGCCATCCCAACTTACTAACTACCCTTACCTAATCTAATTTTTCGTGAGCAGAATTTACTTTTTCTTATACATTTCCTATTCTGAAATAATATAATTATTTAATCTCGTGCATAATAATTTCAGGGCAATATATAATAATTGCGCGCATTAAACAAATATTGTATATATGTATAGTATATATTTATGGAGGAAACTTTTACAATTAATTTTATTTTAACACTTCCAATTAGTCACATGAGTGGACGCATAATAATGAATAATAGTCATTATCATAAATTATTATGATTATTATCGTGTTTACAAAATATGTTATAATAATAAGGATTTTACCATACAACTAAAATATATGTACACAAATATGAGCTAAAAATCGTGAAATATATAAATACTATTATAACTAGGGCAAATTTTAATATGGTTTCGCACACTTTTATCAGTTGGTAAAACAAAAAAAAACTAATTTATACCAAAATATGTTTCATGAACCGAACGGTTCTATATACAAAATTATATTTTGCATATTCTGGCGTGCATATTATAATGTTTTCGTACAGTTCTAGATCATATTTCTAGAACAACGTACATTTTTGATTCAACGAATAAATAATACCACCTAGAATTATGTTTAGAGTATAATTTTTCGTATTTCTGGCATACAGGTGGGATTTATGTAAAGTACAGTGGAAAAAAACACGACACTAATAACTACTATAAACTTATAAGTTTACCGAGCTACATTTAGAACCATTTTTTGATTTCAATGGTTTATATTACATTCAGTATGCAGAGTGTCCCACGAGGATTCAATAAATACAGTAACTTTTGTTCTATTCAATAACTTTGATATAATTTTTTTTTTAAATAATTGGTATGTCTCTGTGATATAGTTAATATATGAACAATTTTTTTTAGAGGCGAGGAGAACTTAAAATAAAACATTTTAAATTTTACTATAATTTTTAAAAAATATTCAAAAAAGTTATTTTTTAAAATAGATGTTTATAATATTTTTAATGGTTGACATTTTTGTGAAAGTATGAATTTTTATTTTCTATGGTTTTTTTTTGGAGATTTTACAAATGTAAATATTGTCTATTTTGGTTATTAATTTATCAGTTATTACTTATTAGTCATGATTTTCTCTTCCATGAATTAATATCATGCAATATTATTATCATATTATAGTCCTTAGGTAGTTTCAATCAATCAATAATAGAAATTTATATTGATAAATAATATGGTTATAATTGAAAAGAAATTTATTTAAATTTTCAAAAAATCGTTGAAAATAAAAGTCCATACTTTAAAAAGAGTTTTTTCGACCACCAAAAATTATCTAAAAATTTATTTTACAAAATGGCAATTTTATATTGTATTTTTTAAAAAAAATTATAGTAAAATTTTTAATTTTTTTATTTTAAGTCCCTTCCATCTAAGAAATATTTTCATATATAATTTGTAGCTTTGAGACATACTAGTTATTTAAAAAAATGTATATCAAAAATATTGAATAGAACAAAAGTTATTGCTTAGGTTAAATCCTCGTGGAACACCCTGTATATTTTAATTTATGTTTAAAGGTTTTCAGGGCATACAAATATCTGCTCTAATGGCCCAATATGTGTAATTATTATATATATATAAACAACTTAATTAGAAAGTAAACAAACTCCTAACTGTTTGAGTTGTTTTTCGACACAGTTTACATTAATTAACACGTTTATCTGTACTTAATCTATGTTAGTTGGTTTTTGAGTATCAACATAATAATGATATGAATATTAAATATGATTTATTTATTAAAACTCAAATCGTCTTATTGGTCTACTATAACATTGGAAAATTCCATTAAAAACAGTACATAACTGCAGTATCTATCATGAAAATAAAAAAATACGTTTATATACTACAAAACAGAAACAGATTAATTTTTGAAAACGAATTGATCGTCTTGATTATGATTTGATGATTATGTACATAATGACATTTTCGAATGCAAAAATGATTACTAATTTAGTCGTATAAAAATAAAACTGATTTATATCTACTCGATCGTTCAACTTCTATCGATATTATTGGAGAATACCTATTTTTGTTTTCCAATACATTTGTAACTTACTCTTTGTACGGTCCCACAAAAGCTATATACCTATACAAGTATATTTAATTGTTTAAATGTGTGAAGAAAATCAGAATCTTTGTAAAATATTAAATAGGTATATAAAAACCAAAAAAAAAAAAAACGTATTTATGACGAAATATATAAAATCAATTTATACACTCATTGAATTGAAAACCACGTAAAGTAAATTTATCACTATAAACTTAATAATTAATTTTTCAAGTGAAATCGTTTTATTCATATTTACATCAAATTCCGAACCCTATACTCATTAAAATGTATTTATAGTTGGCATTTAGTTCAAAAAACTCTCTAAAAACCATATTTTTTTTACGTTTAGTGGTTTTCTGTCTGGAAATTCCAAATTTTTAAGAGTCAAAACCTTGAACGAATTTCTAAAAAATTTCATTGCAATTATATCTCTGTTCTAGCGATGTAATTTAACATAAAATTTGCTAAACATTTCATATATTCCATACCTACTGCTTTTGATACCGAAGAATATTGAACCTTCGAATTTACTTTTATCGTTTTATCCCGTATAAACGGTTGTACATGAGATTTACGACAAGCGATTATTTTGTTCATTAGATGGGGTTGCTAGATTACTTTTTTCCACTACTTCATTCATTTAACATTAAAAACATCAATGAATTGAACCGAATTAAATGTTAATATCCACACTTTTTTCCACGTACTTAAATACAGAAATCGATACACATCATTAAATGTTAAATATAAATCCATTTTATTTTTCGATACACTCAAATCTGAAAATTTCATAACTTTACTACCAAAAATATTGTTCCTATTTTTATGTAACATCTATTCTGAAAGAAAATTGCACCTAGATTGTGCAAAGGGAGATCGTTTTTTTTATTCCTTATATTTTTCTTTATTATTATGGAAAACCGGGTAAAAGGGTAGAAAAGTGAACCAATAACGGTTTCATTATTTTCGATTTTTAGTTTTTATTACCATTCAGTTAAAAATAATCGTATATTAGCATTTTATAGATGAGATAAAATATTCCAAACATCTTGGCAATTTTTTAACATAGGCATTTGATATTTGTGAGGTTTGTTTTAGTCTTATCTGATTTTATGTAGATGATATTGTTTTATCAGAACAAAAATGGTTTAGAATTTAATAAAATAAGCAATTTTAAGTTATTATACATTGAATAAACTAAGAATAGTTTTTCGTTAGCAATGATTTACCATTGCACATAGATTCAAATTAAAATACTCAATGTATTATTCTACCTTCTCAATTTCCCACCAACAGCAGCACATCCATTACCATTATTAAGAAATCTGATAGTTTGCCGTATAACCCCAAATTTCAATCATTGTCCTTTGACATAATAGTATATTGTATTATAATATTTGTTTTGTCGAGACTTTAAAAGCCAAGGTCGTGTTTATCAAAGATTAAATCAATATAATGTAATACATCGGACGTTCGAAATTCGAGATATTGCAGTGTTCAAAATATCTCTATGGCTTTTCAAATGATTTCCGTGCTATTTAATCGATGACTAGAATAAAAAAAAAAACGAGGACCATTACGTAAACCTCAAAAGAGTTTTATAAATATTAAAGCGGAAATATTTATACAGCAATAGGTACTTATTAAGTTTAAACTTGCTGTGTATATTAGATGTTGGTCAATCGTTTCGTTAAAATATTAAAGATAGGAAATGATGTTGCTGCACTCCATATCAAGTAAAACTAATATCAGAGTAAAAATAAATTGCCGTGTTGGATTTTCGGAAAAAAAAAACGAATAAAACTTTATTATTCAAGCGATTTAATAAAAATAAAATAAACCTTTTAATGCAGATGAGTATGCCACTGTTGTAGGTTAAGGAGGTGTATGTACAAATTACCTTTATTTTTATTTGTACGCAAAGATAAGTTATTGCTTTCAAAGACGGATCAAAGCCAAGTTAAGTTAAAAATATTTTAAAATGTCGTGCATTTTACGATTGTCTTCAAAATTTTAAATATCAACGCTTATAAAAAGAAAAAAAGAGCTGATACTGAGGACAGGTGCCACCACTGTTGTAGGTGGGTAGTTGGGAAAAGAATATAAGTAATGTTATTTAATTTATACCTGTAACAAACGATAAACAATTACTATTAAAAACGATTCGGAGCGGAGTTTAATTATACAAATTTTAAAAGACGATTTTCGTAAAAATTTGATTATAAAACTCTTACGATAAATAAAAATACTACATACCTAACAATCAATACTTTTGAACCACTATGTATGAATTTTAATAAACCTTCTGACAAATTTGCAAGCATTTCTGTTTATTTTAAATATTTTATTCATAGAGTAAGTACCCACCAATAGCTTTCATAATACCTTTCATAATTATTAAAAGAAACTGCAAGGAAAATCAAAAAATAACTACCAACTAGATACGATTTACTTGCAGGCAAAACACTACACACGACTATCGGAGTAATTAATTTGGTAAAAAAAATTGTTAACAGACAAAAGAGAAAATACAATTTAAAAAAACGCATCGTAAAACCAATACGTTCCTCGGTTCGCTGAAAGTCTAAAAAATAATTTTGTTATGTCGTTTTGTTAGGCGAAACACGTACAAAGAATAATCATTTTTTATTATTAGCAATTGTTTAATTCGAATTTACGCGTTTAAAATTTAAATTACTTTCGTTACAAAGTTTGCGTGTATAAATAATGCGGCATGAGTAGCGAGAGTGTGCATGTATATAGTGCACTCTAAGCGGCTAATTGAGATAATAACGAGATGTAATAATTATATTGTCAATCCATTTGAGAGATTAACAATTATTATCAAAAGTTTTTCTCGTATTCGGTCGAAAAGATATTATATTACTGAATAAACGCAAGTCCAACGATGGCTATATTCCAAAGTGTTTCTATAAATAAATATATATATAGTTATAATATAACCGAAAACTTCTTTGATCCGATTTCGGCAAGCGCTCGTTAAAAACTTTAAAAACTTCACAGATTTTCACTGACATTCGTTCGTGTTATAAAATATAACGTTATACGTTAGGAAAACGATGTTTATAATTTATATCAGTAAATTGACGGCAAATCGGTTGGTTTTTGTCTACGTAAATTATTATTTACGATTATGCTCAAAGATTATGCTCTTACGTGATCGATAATCTCACAAAAATAACAAAATCCCCGAATGTACGTACGTTTACGTATATTATACGTAAACTATAACGCACTAATATTCCTCAAATAATATTAAACTACAAAGTTACTCCGCTCGTGCCATCTTAACGATAAAGTTAACGTTATTTTTTTTGTGAAAGTTGAAATATTTTATTATTTATTTATCTATACATATTATCAATATTGTTAACTGACCATGTTCTTTGTAATTTCATGTTATCATGATGTGGAGTTCAATTGACTAATGTCGAGCAGATTTACGATTTTTGTCAAAATCTAATCTTCAAACGCTTCAAAAAAAAAAACAAAAAATTACACATTATTTTTATTTATTTTTTTTGTTTACCACATATAATGAAAATCCTAGTACATTCCATTTCTGTTCGGTCAAACAATAATTGTATCTACATTAAACTAAATAAAACTAAAAAACTCCCAAAGATATTTAATTCTTATGAAGAGTGCACACATTTTACCATGTTTTTAAAAAAAAAAAAAACCTTATATAGGTATTCTATAAAAATGCCAGGTTTTTACAATTATTTTTAACTGAACTGTAATAATAACAACAAAATAAACAACAATACAACCGTAAATGCCGTAAACATTCTAATTATCCCTACGTTTCTTCAGGTTTTATACAATTATTATGAAAACCGCTTAGAAAATTAAAATAATGCCTCCTCAATGCACCATTTAAATCTATAATGCAACAAAACAAGTGGAAGGTTATTGAGACTTACGTACAAAAAAGTTTTTTTAACATTTTTTTATTGAAGCAAGATTTTTAGTAGAATTATGGTTCACAGACAGAAATAAAGAATAAAAAAAAAGCACATATCCTAATACTAAAACTAACACATTCTTTGCTTGGCTCAGAATTAAATAACAATGAAAATTGATACCGAAGTTAACTAATATTTTATTAATTTAAAAGCAATCGTGTTTAATAAATCACGACGAACCTTTTGTTTTGCTTCGCTGACGTATTTAAAAGAAGCTCGATAAAGGACATACCCTTCTCACACTTTGTGTTTGCGAGATTGAGAGTGAAATATGATAGCGTATGTGAGACAGATGAGTTTTGACTTTTGCGAGAGTATGTTTCAGGGTAAATAAAGGATCATTAACGAATATACATTACGGACGAATATCGAGTTCTTACGACTCTGTGCGGTTTATAATATTTTTTTCGAAATATCATGTTTAAAAACCTATCACGCGTCCATGTAATATAGGATTTATTGAGATTATTATAATGTAAAAATATTTATAACTTATAATATCATAATGATAACACTTTGATATTTCATAAAAAAAAAAATATCTAATTAACAAAGCTCCGTCATTAGAGTTAAATTTTACCCTCTCTTATTTAGTATGTTAAAAAAATATTCTTTGTATAACAATAAATTACCGAATACTAATATAAAAATCGTATACATGCCGGAATACCAAAGTAGCGTAAGCTCTTAGTTAAATAACTCAAACAATAACCAAGAACTAAAGCATTAATGTTTTTCAAATTGCCTATTAAATCCATTTAATTATCTTTTTATAGAAATACTAATAGTATTCTATTATTATGAAAATACAATACAATACCAATTATACTATAACAATATTACTTCCAAAAAAAAAACACTAAGAATCTAAAAAAAAATTAAATATCTGCATAAAATTGGTAAATGTTAAAAATTATAACCTCAAAAACGCACATCTTGGATATTGAATGTCATGCATTTATAAAGTTTAAAGTTTGAGGGGAGAATTTTTAGAGTTGATCAAAACTAAAAGAATATATTGCTAAATGATAAACAATGGACAAAAACGTTTTTATTGTAAAACTAGTCCCTATTATCCGTTGAAAATTAGATAAAATAAGAATATTTTTTTTTTTATAACTTATAACATTAGATGGTTGGTTATTATTGGATAGTGGAAAATGAAATAAACTAATAACTTCCTATAACCAAAAAGACTAAACAGACGCCCTAAGATAATGGAGACGGATGTAGCCACTGTTATAAGTAATTTAATATATATCTGTAAGAAACGATAAACCATTGCTTACGAAAAAACGATTCTGAACGGAATTCAGTTGATTAGTGATGCTTTTTCGAAAATATTAATGCCATATTATAGAAAAATAATAAATAGGCTCTATATATTTTTTTTGTTAATATTTGTTTAATGTTGTACCGATTTTCCCAGGTTTCTTACGTTTATCCATGTTTTTCTCAGTTTTTAAAATTTGCTGACAAAACTCCGGAGAAAATCGAAAAACGATTTCTGTGAAGTAACTCTCTAGTAAAATTTTCTTTTAAAAAATTTACTAACATTAAAAGTAGGAATAAAATTATTGGTAGAAAAGTTGTCTACAGAAAAAAAATTTGTAATATTATTCAAATATATTTCGTACATTTTCCCGTTTTTTTTTCGATTTTTTGCATTTTATGAGAAAACCCTTGCTAAAAATGGCCTCTATAAAAGTACCTCCCCATATTGATTTCACAAATAGGTGCTACACGTAATAATCGGAAAAGTCTTCTAAAAGAAAAATTGTCTACAGGAAAAAAAAATAAAATAAATAACTTTGTAAAAATCGTAAGCTTCTTCACTCCACTCAGAATCTTAAATAAATAAAAAATAAAGGGAAGAAATTTTGTGCCAGACGTATGACTTAAACCACTCGTACTATATTGCCAATTTTCATGTTATACATTTCTAGTTGAATAAATTCCCAGAAACTTTCCTGAGAAAGAATTTTATTTTTTATTACTATTATTTTTAACCACCTAGGGATTCCAGTGGAATTTATATTAACTCCTCGAGTGATATTGCGATGACGTATGCATACGTACTTGTTTTCGTTACTAAGCCGTTGTGTAATAATATTGGGTAAAGTTCCAAATATCGTATTACCATGTTGCACTGTCATCCGCCGTAAATTCAGTTACTGAATATAACTGAGATTACAACGACCAATCAGAGAACGATAAAAGGCTTACCATTGATTCTAGCGTAGATAGAGGATGGATAACTGCCAGTGAAAAATGTTCTCGAGATTCCAATGCTCAACGTGGTGTTATTTTGATAGGCAAGTAAAATTAATCAAGGATTATTAACCGACAAAATTAAAACAATGTTTCTTCAACTTGTTTAATGTTATTTTCATTACTTTGATAATAGATTCTACTAGTATGCACTATACACAGTATTATAAGATACTGTACAGTATTATGTTAATAATAACATGTACTAACACTGTTAATGTCGTACCGTTTGCGCATCAATTTTGTGTAAAACTAAGATATAAGATATTAGTCTTCCAACAGATTTCAGGGGTTAAAATATGAGAAACGCCCTTATTTATGGTGACATCATGTGTTGCTTGATTCAACTATATCAATAAGTATTACTTGTGCAATAGATAATATCTCTAAGAATTTAAAAGATGGAATGTACTTAACTTTGCTAAGGCCAATTGTCCTGTACGGAACAGAAACATGGCCTCTGAGAAAGACTGAAGAACGAAGAATTACAGTATTTGAGAGAAAAGTACTCAGGAAAATGTATGGAGCATACTTTGATGTTCTCGCAAATGAATGGAGGAAATTACACAATGAAGAACTGCAATCCCTTTTTCAACGACCGGATATACTGAAAGAGATAAAAAAAAAAAGAAGGCTAGTTTGGGCTGGACACGCCTGGAGGAAACATGACTCATTAATAAGAAGAGTAANTACTCAGGAAAATTTATGGGGCATACTTTGATGTTCTCACAAATGAATGGAGGAAATTACACAATGAAGAACTGCAATCCCTTTTTCAACGACCGGATATACTGAAAGAGATAAAAAAAAAAGAAGGCTAGTTTGGGCTGGACATGCCTGGAGGAAACATGACTCATTAATAAAAAGAGTAATGGAGGAAAACCCAGTAGGGAGGAGACCTCTTGGAAGACCACGTCTAAGATGGGAGGATTGCGTTAGGAGAGACACTGAAACAGTGGAGCCGGAGTGTCATTGGCAGGAAGTAGCAGAAGATAGGGATAGGTGGCAGTGTGTTTATCTAGAGGTATGGTCTTGAATGGCCGAAACCAAGAAAGAAGNGACACTGAAACAGTGGAGCCGGAGTGTCATTGGCAGGAAGTAGCAGAGGATAGGGATTGGTGGTAGTATGTTTATCTAGAGGTATGGTCTTGAATGGCCGAAACCAAGAAAGAAGAAGAAGAAGATGGTCTTTTATTTTCTAAAATTCGTTGAAGTTTTTACAAGCATAAATATCATTGAGGTTTATATTATATTTTAATAAGTAATTTGAGCAAATAAAATGACAAGGATTTTCTTTTCTATAAGTTCATATCATATAATAATATTATCATAATTTGTGGACTGTGGTTACTACTCATAAACTTCAATAATATTCACATTTGAAAAAAATTAAAAAAAATAAAAGACCATACCTAAATAAGTTAGTTTCTCAACCACTAACAAATTAACATTTTTTAAAATGAAAATTTTACTAAAATTTAAAAATTTGTAACAACTGAAACTTCAGTTATTGTATATTTTCTTTTATTGTTTTATTTTTAGGAAACAGATAAAAGTATTTCAACGAAAACTATTGATTCTGCAATAAAAGACAGTTCAGTGAACAGTACAAGTTTATCTAATAAATCATATTGTTCTCCTGATTTATCTAAGAATGAACATAAAACATCCATTATCGAAAATAATAAACATAGCAATTCCTCATCGAATACAGTAGGCATTTTTCTTAAATTTTTACTTTGTTGTATAACTTTATTATTTATGATTTATAACTTTAGGATACTAAACAGCAATCATTAGATAAACAGGAATTTAAAAGGTTTGTATATTTTTCTATTCATACTATTATTACTAAAGAAATACAGAAATACTTTGTACTATGGGTGAACCACTGTTGTAAATGAGTACCTATTAAATAAAAATTACGTAAGAAGCTCGAAAAATTAAAATGTCTATAAATAGCTCAAAAATAATTCTAATGTTTTCCAAATCTCATCACGTCTAGAAAAGGAAATATAAGAAATTTCAAGTTTATAAACATTTTAAGCTGAATTACAATACAAAATTGAAATTAATAAAAACATTATTTTTGTAAATTTTCCAGTTCTTCTCAATTATTATATTGTTGGAAAATCAAAAAATATCCTTCCTAAATTTCTAACTAGACAAAATTCCCTTTTAGAAACTTACACTTGATAATTGGAGCAAAATTTCTGATAGAATTTGTTTACACAGTGTACAAAAAAAAAAAAAATTAACATCATTGTAAAACCAATACAATCCTTGCTCCGCTCAGAATCTAAAATGTTTAATTTTTAGTTCAATATATTAATTTTAGAACTATGGAACAGTTACAGCAAGATTTATCTACACCCAAAGAACAAGAAATTCTACCATTGAGATCTGATTCTGAGAGTCAGGATGATCATGCAAGTAAGTCTTTCTTCATTTCTTATTAGTAGGTAATTAATA